TTACCCTGTCACACATGCCACTTCCCAAATTACAATTGAGAAACTGAGAATGTGTTTCAGTACACATGGATTACCCAAAATGTTAGTGTCAGACAATGAAACATGTTTTACCAGTAACGAGTTTGAAACTTTCATGAAGAGGAATGGCATTCAGCATGTAACGTCAGCTCCTTACCATCCTTCTTCAAACGCCCTAGCTGAACGTGCTGTTCAAACTTTCAAGGAGGGGATGAAAAAGATGAAAGGTGACACTGTGGAGACAAGAGTAGCAAGACTCTTGTTTAATTATAGAATCACTATAGGCCATGACAAAAGCTGCAAAATCAGAGGTTTTGAAGTTGGAGATTCAGTGTACGTGAGGAACTACGGTGGTGGACCCAAATGGATTCCTGCAATAGTGGAATGTTGTACAGGACCTCTTTCTTACAAGACTGCTCTAGGGCATGGACAAACTGTGAAAAGACATGTGGAAAAAATAAGAAATTGCAGGACAGACGAGATGCTTGAGACTGTACTACCCACAGAAAATGAACAGGATGGTGACACTTCTGCATTACCTAGTGCAGATGTTATCAACGCACCTGCAGAAAAGGAGATGTCTTCCCTTGAGAAAGGACAATCGCTAGAAGTGACTGTTGTAAAAAAAGAGACTAACCAACCTACAAACCTGAGAAGGTCTGCAAGAGAGAGACGTTCTCCGGCTCACTTGAAAGACTGTTGCATAAGTCAAGTCAGTAAAAGACAATCAATACAATATAACTGATATGGTTGTTGAAGAGTTCTTCAGAAAAAAAAAAATGCTAAGCATTAAAATATTAAGAATGTGGTTGTTACAATGTTATATTCTGTAAGTAATGCTATTGGTATTTAGCTTAAGAAGGAGGGGATGTAGTATCCTGGAGTAACCACTAGGTGTCATTGTATTACAAGTGTTGTGTTCTATCCTGGAAAAGTTAGTTGAAGAAGATGTGCCATGCGGGAGGCGCGTGATTTTTTTTCCCAAACCACTTCAGCGGAAATCCCGCCCTGCAGCTGATTCTAAAGTTTTCATTGGTCATCTCAATCACTGTACTGATTGCCTACACCCAACACTGATCCCTAAACCTACCCGTCACTGTAACCTAAACCAATGAAATCGGTTGCAGGGCGGGATTTCCGCTGTAGGGGTTTGGGGAAAAAAATCACTAGCGGGAGGCATGAGTGGAGACCTCTGTTGCAAACACAAAGTAAAGTATTAACTTCAACTCTATTCATGTAGTAGTCTGATTTATAGTGAAGATACTACATAATCTTATACACAAACATGTATGAACAGCATATATATATACATGTATTAAAGAACAAGTCAATCCAACCGAGGTTTTAATGCCCTCTGATTTTCTAGCCAGACCGTGGCTTAAGCTGTGCAGACTTGTTTTCAATGCATGGAAGCACTTATCTACTGGTGGTGGACTACTTTTCCAGATTTGTGGAGATTGCCAAACTAACCCCTGCAAGATCTGATGATGTAATAGTACACTTAAAGTCTATGTTTTCACGGCATGGAATTCCAGAGATCCTTTTCTCGGATAATGGACCTCAATTTTCCAGCCAGATATTTGCAGGCTTTGCAGCGGATTATGGCTTCAGGCACATCACCAGCAGCCCGAGATGTGCTCAAAGCAATGGAGAAGCTGAGCGTCATGTTCAGACAGTAAAGCATCTTCTAAGCAAAGCAAAGGACCCCTATTTGGCAATGCTGGCTCACAGAACAACTCCACTGGCAAACGGTTACAGTCCTGCGCAGCTCCTAATGTGGCACACCGATACCACAGCATCACTTGCTTCTGAATCCAAACCTCCCTGATTACACCGTTGTAGCAGCAGAGGAAAAGGGAAGGAGAGAGAAGCAGGCTGCAAGTTACAACACACGTCACAGTGCAAGACATCTCAGTCACCTTCCCTCAGGTCAGAGAGTTTGGATTACGGACACGAAGTCTGAGGGTACTGTGGTAGCATCTCATTCAGCACCTCATTCATACCTGAGGAAGGAACAGACGTCATCTTGTTCCTATGCCAGACACCAAACCATGTGCTGAAATTTCCCAAAACCTGTGGATCAAACGCAGGAGGGGGTGCACTGCCCAGAACCTTGAAAAGGCCAAACAGTCAAAACTCCCATGTGATACAAAACACTATCAGGAAGGACAGTAATCCAACCAAAGAGACTGGACTTGTAAGTCACAGGAGAGATAATGTGGGGTTTCACATACAGGAGTTAAAAAGAAGAAAAGGAAAGGAGTTACTAGATGAACATGGGAAAATTGTTAATGCAGTGTAAAGTTTGGTTGTCGTTTAATGTGGATATGCTTGGTTTAAGTTCAAAAGTAATTTTGAAGTCTAATGAATGGTTTTGTCATTGGCTTACTGTTTTAAGTGTTCTTAGAAGGGCAGATGTGGTGTGATTATTATGTGTTTATTATGGGCCTCTTTAAGAGAGAAGGGCTGGGCGGAGTCAAGGAATGACAGGGGAGACCGGAGGGTTAAAGTTCAGTCAGTTAAAGAATGGCAAGTGAGGTAACATGTTCAATGGGCCTGATCTCTTTTGTTTAATAACACAACACCAAATTGTTTGAATTTCGTGATAAAATTGACAGAATCTGAGAGCTGAGAATGTGTTTCATATCAACAGTAACTGATCTATCTTGTCTGTCGGTGTCAGTGTAATCTTTGCTTCGAGATTATCTCTGCGTGAGAAACTGCGCAAGTGTTGATTGTGTGATTCTCAGCCTTGGCAGCCCTGCATGAAGTAAAATTAATTTCCATAACACACCACTGAGGATTTGTCTCTGCATGATTTTTGCATTGACCAGCAGGTGTCGCTGTGTGCATTCGAAGCCCTGCTTAACTGTAACAATAACTACATAATAACTGTAATGATGACTGGAACTATAATGATAACTATAATAACTAACAAAATACACACAGTTGCACTAAATTAAAACTCAAGTTAATTAATTTCATTTGCTATTCATAAGCAAATTGTTTACAAAACAAAAACCGTGTCACTTACACACACACACACACATCAAGAATCAGTGTACGAGTCTCAACAACAGTGACAATCAACAAAATATTCAGATAAACAGATCATCTTGGACCGTCACAAAACAAGCTACTAAACAAATCACAAGAACTAGAGCAAAATATTTAAATACTAAGACATTGCATGTGCATAATTTATTCATGCTGCAATGCATGCTGGGAGACATGGATGAGCTTTGATTGGTGGTACCCATCATGCACTGCAACATTAGGCTTTATGTTTATTGTCACCAGTGATGTCTGTGACACAAAGTAATTGTAGTCTGACTATTCAGTTTGTTGTACAGGTGAGGTGGCATTACCTGCTCTGGCTTTCCAGCCTATCACACCTCCTCCGGTGCCGTTGGGACAGCTGCAGGGTCATCAGCTGGACACCGCCGTTCATAGATGTTTCACCCCCACGACCAGTACATCTCCAGGCAGGGGGCCGGTGGCATGCTGGAGACGTCTCCCCGCCACTCCCTGCAGCTGCCTTCACTGGGGTGATGATCCCCACCCCATTTCTTTCCTCCTCAACCAAAGCCAGTAGCTCCCTTTCTCCGTTTCCTCTCCCAGCACCCCGTGGCTTTCCTCAGCCTTGAGCCTGTTACGCCCACTCCGTGTAGCAGCTGGACTGCTACTTTGTCCACGAAGCCTCGACAGCCGATCTCCACAGGGTGAACAGTTGCTTTCCAGCCAGCATCTTTGCACTCCGCTGCTAACTCTGCATACTTCTGGTGCTTCCTTTCGTGGGCTGCTTCCATATTCTCCTCCCAGGGGATGGTTAGCTCGATGAGGAGGGCTCGCTTTGCCACTGTGGACCACATGACTATGTCTGGTCGGAGAGTGGTATTCATGATCTCTCTTGGAAAGACCAGCTCTTTCCTAAGGTCTGCCAGCATCTGCCACTCTTTACCAGGTGCGAGCATGCTGCTCTTCTTCTGAGCAGGAAAGAGGTGTATAACGCCAGGCTTTACAAATCCTGTCAGGGCATGCTCTTCTGTTGGCGGTGAATGGTTTGCTGCCACCCTACAGCCCTCCAGGATCTCGGCCAGTTTCGTCAGGATTGCATCATGGCGCCACCTGAAGCGTCCCTGGGTCAGTGCCACTCTGCATCCTGACAAAGTGTGTCGGAGGCTTGCCTTGGCGCTCCCGCACAGATGACAGCCCACTTCATCACCATACCACAGTGTGAGGTTCCTAGGGCATGGAAGGGTGTCGTAGGTCGCACTCAACAGGAAACTGAGCCTGGATTAAGGCGTCCTCCAGATATCCGCCCAGGTAATACGCCTGTTGAGGGTAGCATCCCATCTCGTCCAGGCTCCTTGCGTGCCCTGGGATATTGCCTTCAGATGGAAGCGCTCCTTCTCCAGTCTGGTGATTTCGTCCACCACCATGGTCTTCTGCTGTCTCTTGGTGGCTTTGGACCAGAATTGCTGTGCTGCTCCCCAGCACGACTGGTCTGGACAGCCCCCATCACTTCTCGGTGTTGCAGACTGCATGGCGATGGCGCGCTCCACCTCTGCTTGCGCCTGTATTTTAACAGATTACATGAACCAGTCACTACCTCGGGTTTACATCCAACACTGAACACATTACATGGGGGTTTTGTAGAGGAAAGTTGAGTGTCACTCAGAGTCAAGAGCATTCAAGACCACAGAGCAAAATCCTCAGTGTTAAAGTACACAGTTCAGAGTCTATATGAGCCTGATCTACAGAGAGGACAAAGTTACACTGGTATAGTGTCACTATATAGCAACGGGTTTAAACACTCAGTTGATCAGATGAGAGGAAGTTAATAACCACAGGAGGAGCTGATGATGTTTAAAGGAGGAGCTGTAACTATATATAATGAAGAGGAAGAGCTGATGATGTTTAAAGGAGGAGCTGTAACTATATATAATGAAGAGGAGGACCTGATGATGTTTAGAGGAGGAGCTGTAACTATATATAATGAAGAGGAAGACGGACAGAAACAGAAATGGCTGATAAGTGGGATCTGTGTCTGCTGGGACTGATCGTTCTCTCTTCACTTCTCACAGGTAAAGAAATCTCTATTTTCTCTAAACACATTTAGTGGAATTAGTCTGGAAAGAGTTCATGTGAACATGCTCAGTTTATTCTTGCACACATTCACGTTGTGATCTCAGAGTTGTGTATTGATACACACAGATCATACTGTATTATTCCTGATACTGGACATAGTGTCACTCAAACATCTGATGATGAAGAATGATCTTCATATTAAGAGTGTGTCAGTGATTTGAACAGCTCTCTGATACACACTAATAGTTTATTCTGGAGAGTGTCTTTTTTTGCTTTAAATGAGGAAAAATACTATGATTTAAAACCTCTGATTTTTATGCAGGTGTGTTTTATGTTTTCGTTTATTAATATATATAATAATGATCACTGAGATATACTGTGTTTCAGGAACCAGTGGAGTGCATGTGTTCATCAGTTCTGGTGTAAATGTCTCTCTGTCCTGTAATAATGATCTTTCTGACTGCAAATCAACATCATGGATCTACTATAACAGCTTCAGAGATTCATGGAGAGTTGAACTGATTACTGGAGGGATAAAGAATAAAGACACAGAGAGACATGAGAGACTGAGTCTGGAGTCTGACTGCTCTCTGAACATCAAGAACGTCACAGGAGAAGATTATGGATTATACAGATGCAGACAATATGTGAATGGAGAACAACAAGGAACTGATGCACATGTTTCTCTGCATGTTCTTCATGGTAAGTTTATGATTATGTGGCCAATTTAAAAAGGGCAGATTCTCTCTTTAAACTCAGATGCTGATGAAAGAGTCTCTGTGATTTGTGTCTTGTGTTCAGTTTCAGTGTCTTCATCATCATCATCAGCTTCATCATCATCTTCATCCTCACAGACTGAGATCAGTCCAGGCCGCTCTGTGACTCTCTCCTGTCAGTTGTATTCATATACTGGATTCTTCTGTGATGATCGGGTTCGTTCAGAGGGATTTGAGCTGTTGTGGGTGAATCAGACTGGTGTTGATCTGAAGACAGACTCCAGATATCAGATATTATCATCATCATCATCATCATCATCTCCAGATCACTGTATCCTCACTCTGACTACAACACTCCTGAATGAAGATGACAACAGAGAGTGGAGATGTCAGCTTATTCGCAGAGATCAACTCAAGACCTCAGTCACATACACTGTCAAGTATTCAGGTGAGAAACAACACTGTAAAATATGATGTTAATGTCCTACAGGTGATGCGTCTGAACATTCATCTTCTGCAGCTCCAGTCGATTCACCAACACTGACTCCAGTCACACACACACACACACACACACACACACACACACACACACATACACACACACACACACACACACACTGACTCCAGTCACACACACACACACACACACACACACACTGACTCCAGTCAGAAGCTCAAACTCTGAGAAGACATCAAGCCGATCTACAGCAGCAGCTCCTACACAAGGTTCATGATCACATGATCACTGTCACACATCATCAGTCTCTCGCTTCAGCGGTTTGATCACACCACATTTATCAAACATATTCATAAGATGATTAATATCCCTAGTTATTGGCGCTTCGATCATTTACAGTTTACAGTTGCTGATGACGTCACCGCTCGCTCGCGCCGTCTCTTCCGTCAGTTTCAGTGCGCATGCGCTGCGAATAGTGAACTTTCAGCGTCGAGACTTCTGAGGCAAGGAGAGCAGTTCACGGTATTTATCATCTTTACACAACCAGCAGTCCAGCACACACACTTTATACAGTTTGATTAAGCGACAGGCTCATTTCTGTCTTGTTTTCATCGATCACAGCGATACTTGTGCGTCTTTTCTGGCGTCTTCCTCCTGAAATACACATTTAGTGCAGCAGCAGCGAGCCTGAGGAGAATATGTGGAGTTAATTCAGATCTGAGCGATTGTGTGTGTTTTTGTGTTCGTTTGTGTGATTGTTTCGAGTGAGAACTGTTACTGAATGTCAAGTCAAAAGTCAAAGTTTGAGATCTGTGAGTGGAATTGATAGGAATCTGTTGAATGACGGACACACATAACTCGGTTTTGTATAACGTTGATTCTTTACTGGAGAACTGGATTAATCACCTGTAGTTTTTGGACCAACTAACGTTACCATTGTACAGGTGTCGTGTCCTCACTACGGATTCCCCAAAAGTACAATTGTGATTCAGATATAACTAAGAACATATAATCAATGTTCTACAGAATCGATCTCAAGTGTCATTATTAAAATATACTGGAAAAGATACTGTTAAATACTTTACATTGAGCCATATTAAATCAATAAATACATTGATTGATCGAACATGACTGTTAATTCACTTTGACATAGAACATTATAATTTTATATATAATCTTTCTAAGTGAAGAGAAGTGTGTGTAAAGGGAAGGAAGTGGGGGACTTTACTCTGTGGGCTGTGGAGACAAATGGCAGTGTGTGTGTATGGGATGATTTTAGTATCAAAATGATTAACACGTGCAAGCACACTTATCAATGAACTTGATACATGTTGCAGAAATGTTTTATCCATGCCTTTCAACTTGTGTGTGCAAAATTCAAAATTGAATGAATGTGAAGCAATTTGTACAAATAGAGACATTTTTGTGAATACAAATGTTTTCCTTTGTATTAGTGTATCATAATTTGCACATGCAACACAGAAGACGTGCATGTGTGGATCAGGTGACGCGCGTGCATTCATTGACTCGATTCATTGAGTCGATCCTATTTGATTCATTTGGATTTTGAGACTTTCATTTCGCGGGTTTCGCCTTGCACGATCCACACACAGCTGTCTGAGAAAAGCTCCTACCACTAGATGGCAGTATTCTGCTAAAACAGACAACGGCAGCATAATCAAGCGTTCTTCCGCATTTAAGACGCTTACTGAGAGTGATATTGAAGCACCAAATTTAGTACACAATAATATAGGCCTACCCTACTAATAAAGCATACTTTATAGAGGCAAACATTACGTCAGATTATGAACAACACCCATAGAAAACCATTATAAAACGCTTAACGTGCAATCGCGCGTTGCATGTTCAGTAAGGTGTATTGGCTACTGAGTTTAAATATCACCGTCTTACTGCATTGACGTTAAGCTTTTTCTTTATAATATGCTCTATGGGAGGAAAACTATATAGCCTACAGACAAGAGACTACATGAACGCAACGCACGGCGTTTCAAGTTAATACAATTTTCCTTCCTGTTAAAAAAAAAAGGTGAAATTTCGCAGTTGCGTTCATATTATATGCTTATTTTTATCTGACTACACATTGTGTACATAGTATACAAGCAGGAATTTGAAAATGTCTGTTTTTAAATATTAAAGACGATTTTCGCAGTACATTTGTTTTCCCTTGACCCTTAAGCCATAGGCTATAGTCTTACTATAGCACGATGAGTTTTAACAATATGCAACCATTGTATATCGACATGAAATATTAATTGAAAATCAACTGGCGTAGCGGGCCTGTAGCTGCATATTTCTACATGAGAATGCTTTGACGCGCTAACCACAGCTCATGATGCACAAGGGAACGTCTGCCAATTCCACTAACTGCGTTAAACCACTGATCTATAATGTCATTCTATATAGATCAGTGGTTAAAACGTATAATTTGTTTTAATTCAAATTACTTTTTAAATTTAATAACAGACATTTTCAAATTCCAAAGCTCGTAGAAGGTTTCTGTAAGACTGACTTACAAGTAAAATTTGGTCAATACTTCCCTTCATGTAGCCTGTATTCTGCAGAAAAATACTGTAATTCACCAAAAGGGTTTTTTCATGTTCAAAATGGTTGTAGTATGTTCAGTGACTAGACTGGCTTACTACAGGTGAAATTGCCCCAATAACTCCCTTCATGTAGCCTATTTAGTAAACAATTATTATTTTATAAAAAAAATTACTGTAATTAACCAAACGTCTCTCAAACGTCTCTGCTCTTTGCGGATGATGTTGTCGTGTTGGCCCCCTCACACCAGGACCTTCAGCGTGCACTGGGACGGTTTGCAGCCGAGTGTGAAGCGGCTGGGATGAGAATCAGCGCCTCCAAATCCGAGGCCATGGTCCTCAGTCGGAAAAGGGCGGCTTGCTCACTTCAGGTTGGTGGAGAGATCCTTCCTCAAGTGGAGGAGTTTAAGTATCTTGGGGTTTTGTTCACGAGTGAGGGAAGGATGGAACGGGAGATTGACAGACGGATCGGTGCAGCTTCTGCAGTAATGCGGTCGATGTACCGGTCTGTTGTGGTGAAGAAAGAGCTGAGCCGTAAGGCAAAGCTCTCGATTTACCGGTCAATCTACGTTCCTACTCTCACCTATGGTCATGAGCTTTGGGTCATGACCGAAAGGACAAGATCCCGGATACAGGCGGCCGAAATGAGCTTTCTCCGCAGGGTGACTGGGCGATCCCTTAGAGATAGGGTGAGAAGCTCGGTCACTCGGGAGGAGCTCAGAGTAGAGCCGCTGCTCCTCCACATCGAGAGGGGTCAGCTGAGGTGGCTCGGGCATCTGTTTCGGATGCCTCCTGGACGCCTTCCCGGGGAGGTGTTCCGGGCACGTCCCACTGGGAGGAGACCCCGGGGAAGACCTAGGACACGCTGGAGAGACTATGTCTCCCGGCTGGCCTGGGAACGCCTCGGTGTCCCCCCGGAAGAGCTGGAGGAAGTGTCCAGGGAGAGGGAAGTCTGGGCATCTCTGCTTAGACTGCTGCCCCCGCGACCCGGCCCCGGATAAGCGGAAGAAGATGGATGGATGGATGGATGGATAACCAAACGGGTTTTTGGTGACTTACTACAAGTGAATAATGTAAAATTTCACCTGACTTGTCACTAGGAACGTACTACAACCTTTGGAACATGAATAGAAAAACAATTTACAGTAAATTAAACAATAGGCTACTGTTCAATCGAGATATTGGCTGGACATAGTTGTGGCAATGAAGAAAATCTGTGCCGCGAGTCACATAATTGATTGTTTACTTTCACTGTCACGTTACGCAAAATGGGAGGAGTATGTCAAACAAATTAACGTTAATCACGGAAGGAAATTGAATATAAGGAAGTGTGTCGTACCTGGGAAAGGCGTCACCCGTTTGTGCATTGAGAAGTTTAGTGAAATCGTGACGGATCGTTGGGGAGAGACGGCCGCTTGTCGATCTGTTGTTTCCTGTGGTTGAAGTCTGGTGCGTCGCGAAAGTCGGTGCATTCCCAGACAAACAATGATGGAGCTGTTTTAAAGACAAGCCAAAGCTGCTGTATCCGCCTATCCTAGTGTCGAAGAGGACACTCGATACTCACTACACCTGTTTCTTGCCTGCAAATGTGTGACGCGTTGTGACGCGATGGGACGCGTGGATGTTGCGTTGATGTTGCGTTGAAGTGAAGACGTGGGAAGTTTTGCACGGATTTAAAGAAACGTCAGAGATGAGATATACCGTGGAACTTTTTGTGTGTTATTAGTATTATTATGAATAAATATCCTTTGTGAAATGATTTTTCTTTTTTGATTATTACTATAATTTTTTTTGTGTGTGGTTATTTTTTGGCTATCCTGGGTTCATTTAAATTTTGACAGGTTTTATGCTGTCTGGCGCCCGAACTTTTCTTTAAAGTCATTTATTTGTATTAGGGCGGCCACCACCGTTACATAGTACAGTAACAGTAGGCTAAGTCAGTCTGCCCACTAGACTTCCAAGGTTATAATATAACCTTGGAAATATGTTCATTTGAATGAATGACTGGACGTTTATATTTTTTTGACTGTGAGTGGAGTTTGCAGATGGTCCCTTTATAAAATGAGGCGAATATCAAACCTAAAACTTACTTCACTGCACTCTCGGACCGGTTGCTCTCCCATTCACATGCAAAGTTAAACGCAACTGCAGAATTTTTATTTCATGTTAAGCTTTTTCTTTTTAACAGGCTCGGGAAGGAAATGTTATTAACTTGAAACGCCGTGCGTTGCGTTCATGTAGTCTCTTGTCTGTAGGCTATATAGTTTTCCTCCCATAGAGCATATTATAAAGAAAAAGCTTAACGTCAATGCAGTAAGACGGTGATATTTAAACTCAGTAGCCAATACACCTTATTAAACATGCAACGCGCGATTGCACGTTAAGCGTTTTATAATGGTTTTCTATGGGTGTTGTTCATAATCTGACGTA